GTTGTCTGAACGGTGGTAACCAGCTTGGTAAGACAGTGAAGCAGACCAAACTTTCCTCTGTTTAAGGAACACTCAGGTTTCGGTTTTGGTTGTTTGGTTTTTGCCTTCATAGTAAAATTGATCAGCTATCTAAACTGTTATTGTACAAGTGTGTGCGTGCACACACGCTCACACACACGATCAGATATATGGTGAATATTAAAATTTTAAATTTTCATTAGACTAAATGCATGTTTCGATTAATTCCTCTCAAAACATTCTCTTTCTCAGTCAACACACTTAGGCCGTTCTTTACTTTCTCAAGCAGCGATGGGAATTTTCTTTCCTGGATATATTTACAAAATGTGTTGAAATTCTAGTGAGTGCTGCCGCCAGGTGCCACCCAGTGGAAAATCCAGCTGGCCAAGAAACGATGACGCGTTCTCATCCACCTTGTTCATCACATCTGACACCCCATAAATTCTGGGTCTTTCTGAGGGCAAAATGACCATGAAGGGGGAACGTGTACTACTGAATCAGGACATGGAGACAGCGAGGACAGTGGGACCGAAGACACTCGCTAAACAGGACTTTCAGACCTGCCACATGCGGTGGCAAGAATGGCATCCTCAGAGGGCGGGGAGTATTTTGAGAACTGTTAGTGGCACAGTTAATAGTTAATAGTTCTGTAGTTAATAGTTTTTACTTAAACAGTCATCATGTCTGTTGATCAGACTGTGTGTGTGTGTGTGTGTGTGTGTGTGTGTGTGTGTGTGTCTGCTATCTAGGAGTAGTACACTGACAGTAACAGTGAGTCAAGCACTTCTGTGTCACGTGATGGATGGCATAGGAGCTGGCTTCTATCAGGCTGGATGTGCGAGGGCACTGGTGCATTTCTGGCAGCTCTTTCCTTGGCATCTGCATATTCTTACCGTTTTCTGATGCAGTTTTAATAGAATTAAAAATTTTGAATTCTGAGTACACAAAGTGTTGTATTTGTCATCAATATCAGCATCACTTGACATGAGCCTTGAACCTGTGGGCTTGGATCTCGCTGACACACACATGGCAGGGGCTTGGGCCCGGGGTCCCTGAAGGTGCTTGTGTGACAGATCAGAGGGTCTCGCAGCTCTGGAAACTGCAGGCTGCAAGACGGTGCCCTCTGTGAAGTGTTCACGCAAAAGCTTTTGGAAAAGACTAAGGAACAGAAACGAAGATATGAGAAGAATAACAAACAAACATGCTGAAGGGAAAACCATGTTTTAATGGACATGAAGGTTAATTTACATCTAAAAGATCCTCATTTTGAAAAAATTAAACACCTACAAAAATGCCTCAGCATTTTTGTCAGGACTGGGTGACCGAGACTTCTACTATGGGTAAACTGACAGCACATTTTCTGTTGTTATACTCTGTGAGTTTTGCATGATTATTTACGGTTACCTTATAAGCACTCTAACATGGAACAGTGCACTGGGAGTGAATTAGTTAGCTGCCACTTGGCATATCATTTGAAATCAGTAAGTGATACATTTCCAAACTTATTTGGGGTAGGATCAACTGCCACCCTTAGAACGATCCTGAAACCTGGAGGCTAGTTCACTGGAAAATAAAAATGATACTGCCCTTGCTTACATCTGTTGCTACAATTCTGTCTACAGCAGAATTTAGACTTGCGTCTAGTTCATAGAGTGTTCTTTTGGTCATTATTTTCCCAATTATCTATACCAAGTCTCTAAGTAAGCCACAGCATATTCTTCTGTGTTGATTTTTGTCTTTTTTATGCTATGGAAACTGATTTTAGTAAAATTTGCGACAAAGTCTACAGTTATTCAAAAAATATTATCCAAGGAATAGAAACAAATGGAAATCAGATAATGCAAGTGAACTACTGAAAAAGCATTAATTGCAATCATACCTGAAACTGTTTTTTCATTTATGTCTTACTGCATTTTCCACATTTATCTAAAACAAAGATGCCTAGGTTTAATCCTTAAAATTATAAATTATCATTAATTTTTAAACAGGGTAGAGTTGTAAGGCAAGTTGTAAATGCCAACACACTTAAGGTCATATGCGAGATATCCTGCACCCTGGAAATGTCAAAAGTACGAATCCTTCCACAAACTGCATGAATTCCGATTCAAATACTGTCTGGGGCTACACAACCACAAATCCCCTACAGAGTTTTACTTCTAAGCACAATGAACCCCCTTTATAAAAGAGTGCAAGAATCTTTAACTAAATTCAATTTTAGGAATATAAAATACCGCTGATATACAGTGAAACCATCCAACAAATAGTTTCACAATGCCTAGTCTCGCCATTAAAAAAAACTAGAATATATTTTATTTTTTCACAGCCCATATTTTAAAACAATGACTGATGTGTGAAATATGCACCTGTTATCTAAACCTCTCTTGACAAGGCAAACCTTCCCAAACAGGAATCTGAGGGCTGGGCTATTTTTACAGCTTTATAAGTGGTTTACACTCCCTCTCAGGCTTTCCGAGACTAATCCCATTGAATTTCCTGCACAGAATTCCTATTATCTTCATTCAGTGACATCTTCCTGAAATGCACATGCACCTAAATGTTGGTTTGCATGCAGCCCACAGTGGCTCCCTCGCACTGCTTGTTTACCAAGCACTTGTTGATGAGACAGTCATCTGTCATAGACTGTCCCACTTACTCCATACAATAGCTCAAGTAGGACTGGAAGCTATTTGGCTTTCCGTACTTAAGATTGAACTCTGAGCATGCGCACTGAACTACATCCCCAGCCCTTCTTTATGCTGAGATAGGATGAACCCGATGCAAAAAGGAACATGGACAAATCAAGTCATGGAAAGAGGCACCTTGAGTCAGCAGCCATCTGAGGAGGAAGAGGCTATGCTACATCCTGGAGAAATGAAGCGAGGCCTGCCACACTGCTTGTCTTCAGGGTCAGGGAGCTGACACCTCCTGAGAGATGATGTGATGCTCTCAGTGAGTGTGGCAATGAACTGCATGGCAGGCGTGCTCACAGGACCATGAAGGGAATGGAACAGGGCAGCTCAGGACCAAGGAGAGAGCTTGAGGCTGCTTCTCACAATGAGGAGGAGACTCTCACACAGAAGGGTGGGAGAAGGTGGAGAGCCAGTAGTGTTTTTGTTTTTTTAAAGGAGACAAGGTCACCAATCCCAGAGGCAAGAAAAAGCATCTTCTACAATTGTGGAAAAGCTACATGTAACAGTCGCTGTGAGCAATATGGGGCCCCAGCAGAAGGGCTGCTAAGCCATTCCTCATAGCTGTGTTGGTCCAATGGAACAGCGAACACAGATGATGCTGGATATGGGGTGCAGACCTGGCGGCAGGCGGCAACTTCACGATCCTACAGTCTGCAGTCCAGACTCTGAGTAATGGAATTTGATAAAGCCAGCACTGGAAATCCCCTAATTTTCCCAGAGGACTAAATTAAGAGAAAGCTCACCAAGTAACCTGGCCCAGTGCGTAATTCAGTCTCTCAGAACAATCAAAGGGGACATGGGTGACTTGCTCTGTGCCAGGTACTAAGCTGACTTCCTTCTATTCACTGAAAGTTACAACCCCGCATCACTCTGGTGTCAGGTGGGGGGGGCAGGGTGTGTGCTCAGGGACTCCTCGAGGTTTGAAGGCAGAAGCAATGATTCCAGAAAGTGACAGTGCTGTTCTGGTGTTCCCAGGGTGCAAGCTAAACTCTGCTTCTCTGAGGTCTATGTAAGAACTGTATCACTCCTGCAGCTCTAAGAGATATGTATGACAATCTAAAAAACTGGCTGAAAAAATTAGCTGCATTCTACTGCCAAATATGCCTTCCTTGGACATCATTACATTACACAAGGCATCCTCCTTAAAGTTTAATGTCAATGCTTTTTTTTTTTTTTTTTTTTTTTTTTTTTTGACTGGGGATTAAACCCAGACCCTGGCGCTTGCCAAGGAAGTGCTCATTCTACTGGGCCATCTCCCTGGCCCCTTTAGTGTCAATTTTCCTAAGAGATAAATATAACATTTTATGTACATCATCCTCAAAACATTCTGACGCAATAGGCAATTTGTATTCGGACAACTTATCACCAAGGAAGTGACAATAAATTGGAGGAAAAGACACTCAGAACTCTACCCTGACTGTTCTCCACAGCCTTGTCTTCCAATTGCAAGAAGATGTGGGCTGATACTGGAATGTGAACATTGTTTTCTTTCTTTTTTTATGTATTTGGTTGTTACAGGGTCTCACTACACAGTGCAGACTCATAGTGATCCTTCTGTTTTCAACCCGCCAGCACTGGGATTACAGGCGTGCACCACTAGGCCTGGACTCCGAGGCCTGCTCAGCACGCCCGGGGACAGGGCTGGCATGGCATGCAGTGCTGGGGATCAAACTGTGGTCCCTGCACCTGCCTAAGCGGGCACTTTAGTCCGCTGAGCTCTCTCGCTGGCCCTGGAGTATGCACATCTTGAAAGACAGGAGGGGAGGACAATTCCCCTGCATTCTCAATTTGCTGGGAAAGTGTCGAGAATGGTCCTGCAGCAGGCTAAGTAGGGGCTTAGTACAAGCAGGAAGGCCACTTGGTCTCTAATTCCCCTGGAGAAAACAGTGAAAAGACGGGAACATGGTTAATTCCTGCAGCCTGATGCCCTGGCTTTGAAACTCTGGCTCATCTTTTTCTAGGAATGAACGAGTCCAGGACAACACATGTGCAAACTCCCTGCCTCAGTTTCCTTGTGTCTAAAGTAGAGGTGTTGCCAGGATTCATCGTTCGTGGCATGAGGGGAGGAAGGACTGGGGCAGTTCAGGCCAGCAGGGGTCTGGGCGCATGGTGAGGTCCACACCGCACTTGCTATGAGCGCACATTCGTCCTGTTCTCCACACACTTCTTCACACCCACACTGTATTCCATTCAGTCATGAGACCATCCAGCGCGCCTCCACTCAGCAGGCTGCTCACGTGACACAACATGAGTCCAGAAACATCTGCGGGGGCAAAATGGAACGTCTCTCACCTTGCTCCTACCACAAGCTCTTTCTGTCCTGGATCAAATGTTAACTGCGAGAAATCCACAGCATTCTTCACTCTGAACTCCCGCAACCAGGGGCCAATTTCTAAACGGAAAGAATAAATACATGAAAAGATAAAAATGAGTGATTTTTTTTCCCCCAGAGGACCACAGAGAGGGCACATCAGGTGGCAAATATTACACTTGAGGAGGATTTGGAGGTCCCCCAAAGAGGTTGGTAGGTGCCACTGGAAGGCGTTCCCCAGGATGTCACAAAATCACAGGGACCAAGTGGGGAAACTCAGAGGGTGACACCCAGTAAACAGCCAGGGAGGCCCTGAGGTATGGTTGGGATTGAACAGCCAGATGTGCATTTTCCTCTTGGCTCTGGGCTGGGCAGAAAATAACACGGAACACATGTGATTCGTCAGCACCGAATACAAACAAGACTGTTTCCTGTGCAAGTGGAATGGAAGGGGCTGCAGACTTGCTTAATCACAAAAGCCCTCCTAGGAGCAAGGATAAAGCATGGGGCACCGCTTGCCGCCTTTCAAGTTGGCCCCTCCATTTCCCTGCCCTTGGGGTTCCTGTTGGGCCTGATGATTAGACTTGTTAAACGCATTTAGTCCTTTCTGGAAGAAAAACCTGCAGTTACTTCTGGGCCTCATCTGCATTTTTTTCTAAGAGAAATCAGAAAATAGCCCCTCTGTACGAACGGGTTTTTTACAAGCACTGTTAGCTCCTATTAGACGGCCTCCAACCCGGAGCCTGAGGATCACGCAATGACACAATCTGAAAGACCTAGAGGCTGCCCCATGAGCCATTCCTGCCACTGCTCCTAGCTCACGTCTGGCAGCAAAACACTACGCAGTGGGTCACCTACCAGTCTGGGAACACATTATTGTTTTCCTTGGCAATTAATAATGTACTAGGTGGTCTTTATGCTCCCATTTCATACTTTCAATGATATCATACCAATTAAACAGGCATGTGACAACTGTCAATTCAACAAAATTATTGATTTGAAGAAAGGAAATAATCACTTTTAACAAACACTGACACCAGAAATAGATTTAATATGGAAATATGCCTGTGTCCCCAAACATACCCTATAGAAACTGCTCTGTGGCTATGGACAAGATAGAGTATTTTTGATTAACAATTCTGTATGTAATAAAATGTCCCTTCTGTTCTATCAATTATTGGGGCAAAAAACTATGATTAGGTGAGTTATTTTCTCCTCAAAAGACACAAGAACTGAAGTAGAAACCTGTATTTGGTTGTACAATTTTAATGTATTATTTTTAATGTAGTATTTTATAAAAAAATTGTTTGTTCTTACAGTCAGGACAATTAAAACAAAATATGCATAACAAAATATGTACAAGGCTCTGGAGCTATAAAATATTAATGAACAATCCTTCAAGAGCTTATAATTCAGTTAGGGAAATAATGCCTTCTTTAAAATGGCATTTATAAGTACAAGGTGTTTTATAAGGTTTAGTAGAGTTACAGGAATCATTCATAATATAGAAAGAGGAGATGACTGGGAACGTAGGTGCTGTGCAAGGAAAAATGTGACCAGACTCTCAGGAGAGACAGCTGCCCTAGAGGGACAAGTATGAGAACAACAAGGGAACACAGCGCCCCCTCTGGTCCCAGGTGGAAGAGCTCCTCTCTAATTAGCCAATTTTTCCATTTCTGGGGAAGAGGGTGTCCAGCTGCCCCCATGCCCGTGTGCCTCCCTCCACGCCTGCAACACGGAGAGGAGCACACTGAATGTGATGGGCACAACAAACGCGCAAAGCGAGCACAAGCATGAGGGAATGGATCCAAGAGCAGGAGAATTTAAAGGAAGGATGGCGCAGGGACAAAATAACAACTCAAGGAAAAGGTAGGAAAGAGAATGGAGAGATGTACTTCAAACTGTAGGAAAACTGACTCACAAGCTTGGCCCTGATCCTGTACATCACAACATCAAAGCTGTGCCTCATTTTCAAACACCTGGCTCATTGAGTCACAGGCCTACGGATATGAGTGAGCTATTGACAGGCAAGCAAGGTGGTTAGAAACGTGTGGAGAGTGTAGGCAAGAATATTATATATTAAAAAAACTAAAAAAGTCTGCATAGAATTCAGGATGCATGTGTGAAAATACAATGGAAGAGGAAGATGTGCTAGGATAGTATGATTGGGCAGATCGATGTTTGAAGATCAAGTTAAGGGGAACAAATTAAAGAGAAGTTTCCACAGTAAATGAAGAGGAAGGGATGATGCAAACTCAGACAGAAGGAGTTTGGTCTGGGCTTAGAGGCAGTGATGGACCCAGTGCAAACATGAGGATGACCCAGACCAAGAAAATCCCAATGCAAGTAAGTCCCAGAGCCACTTCTAACCATTCCTAAGACCTAGAGTGATCCATAAAGAGGCTTAGATCCAGAGCTTTACGGTTCACACAGGAAACCCACGAGCAAGACACTCGCCGGGCTGACCCGACTACATCCGGCTCCACTGCCCACAGCCCCAGCCGCTACAGCTAGGCCACAGGTGTGCTCCACATTGTGTGACGCATTAGGAAGGGAGGGCTAAGGGCTGCACCTGACGCCTGGAAAGACGGGCTATGTAAGGGGAGAGAGGCCTGGAAAGTGCATGAAACAAGACAGCCTATTTGCTGTGCACCCCGCTTTGGTTTTAGTTAGAGGAACTGGAAGAGAGTGGGCGATGGGAACCACAATGATCACACATATTTTAGGTTTAGGTTGTTATCCTGAGTAACAAGAGAACAATATATGACCTAAACTATCCTCCATTAATAAAAGGATTTGCTTCCAGAAAGAAGAATGGATTAAAAGCAGAAAGTTTTGTCAATAGTGTTTGATTTTCCTTATTTAATATTCTAATGCACTTCTGGAAGAAAACTGTTTCCTTTTCAGGCCAGTACTCCACTGAAGTCGGATAACTTGCAGAATCGCTTTAGATTCCACTTGCTAGGGCCTTCCTCCAGACGAGGCTGTTTCTGGTTTGCATATCACAAGGCCTTCTGTCTTAGATTTCATGAGCATCTTGGGAGAAAGGTTCATACCATCCCATTTCCCTAACTGGACGTGCCTCCACATGGTTCCTGTTCACTCCATGTCCCCTTGAGGTAGGAGTCTAGGTAACTCTTCTCTCCAGGAACCCCAAGTCTCCATCCTTGCTCCAATTGCATCGCTTCTCTCCCCTTCAGTCTCTGCACTCAGTGACCCCTTTAGTTTTCTCTAGTATCCCCAATGTTAGCTAACCTTTTCTGCTCTCCATGTAAGTCATTCTACTGTTCTCTACTTTTTAAAAATCTTTTAAATTATATTTTATTATATTCATCTGTCATCAAAAACACCCAAATGGCACAATAAATTCTTAAGTACAATGTGACAAAAAGATAATAAGCTCAGGTTTATGTACAAATATTACCAAATCCTTAAGGAATATGTGATCCCAACTTTACATAATTATTTCAGAAACAGATAAAACTTGGCAACTGGGTTTGAGGCATAATTATTCTTTAAGAGTAAATTTCAATCAAGAGCATTATGAGAAAGCAAATTCACAGGCCAATCTCTTTTAAAAACATTGTTGAAATCACTCCAAGTATTATTAGCAAGTAAGATGCATGTGTTTCGATATTCACAGATGTGCACATGACACCTGTATTTGATACTGGCTAGGGCTCACCTCGAAGCACAAAGATGGCCCAACATCTGCAGCATCAACAATTCCGTCAGTGCAGTTTGCCTCTACAGTAGTGGAGGTTAAAAGGTGCAGTAGGAAACTATCACTACTGCTTTGTAAAGAACAAGGACATGAACAGACAAAATGGAAGCTCTAGGAGAGCTCAAGGCCAGGCCAGGAAAGGGAGGAGAGGACCTAAACACTAGGCAATTGGAGGCGAGCAAGCCAGATATCACAAGAGACCAGAGAGAGAAAAGAGATTGAACACTGCCCACAGCACGTGGAAAATTGAGATTTAACTCCCAATAATATTAAATTGCTTGTTGACCACAAGTAAAGGGCTGGTCTCTTTCTTCCATTCCTCTCAAGATATCGCTGAAGAAACTAATGGTCAAATGGAAATTTAGCAGCCCCTACATCACTGATTGCAAACAAAGCAGAACTTGTAAATTCCACTTGAGCGCCTTGTAAAGGATTTGTAATGTTTGCTGTTAACCGTTCTGGATATTCCAACTTTACCACAAATGTGATCTTTTTGTCCTACCACAAAATAGAAGCACTGACTTATATCTGTCTTTGTTGCACTATAACACAAACTCCTATATGATATTCTCAATATTTTAGCGAAAGTATAGTGATTCATTTTTAAGAGAACCCAGCCTTCCATCTTCAATAGAAAACCTTTTTGCAAATGTGTCAGCATTAACAAAATGTGGTCCAAGGTAATTGGACAACATACGCTAGCTAGACAGAAGCAAATTAGTGCTCTCCCTCCAAAATAAATAAATAAATAGCGAGAGAAAAAAATGAAAAAAGAAAATTAGAGTAAGTGTTGTCATAAAAAGAAAGTAGCAAGCACTCTAAAGACAGCCAAGATAATGGTGATTTTGAAGACCGATCAGGAGGACCACAGAGATGAGGCTGCAGAAAAGCAGAGCTCATCTGCAGCGCAGCAGTCTCCCCCAAGCCCGAGGGGCTGCCCTGCCGCATGCTGGGCCCTGCAGAGCTGGTTGTGCACAGGTCAGCTTGACTTGGGGGAAATGCAAAGGAGACCTGCCAGGAAAACACAGAGAGGCTCCGCCTTCACTCCTTCAGACTTCATTCTAAATGTCAAGAAAGGATAATCCCCAAATTTTTATGGAAACTCAAAATCTACATTGTAAACAACGTTGCGGAGTGAACAGCGTGTGAAGACTTTGACAAGCCCACGAGGACACAGAGACACAAACGCAAGCTACAGCTGATTCCCTCTAATTCTCATGCAATTACATAATGAGTTTAACCGGCATAATACATTACATATGGAAATAATATGGCATCACTAAAGTAGCTCAGAAATGGCTAATATTTACATAGTGTATGACACAGGTTAGGTGCTCTTTTCTGCACCTCATAGCTA